CAGAGAGCACTCTCAGTACCCTATGTAAACCACCTTTGTGAGGGGAGTAGCTAACAGTAGTGGGAGCATGGCTCCCAGCGCTCTCGCTGGGTTCACACTGGCACTTTACAGCACTGTAACTTTCTGGCTCAGGGGTGTGAAAAAACATCTTCACTCCCCCGAGCACAGCAAGTTACAGCACTGGAAAGTGCCAGTGTAGACTTAGCCTACTTGAGGCATTCGTTGGTGCCTGGTCCTTGCAAGAGAGTTGGTATCTGACCACATTTTTACTTGCCGTGCTGGAGCTCCATCTTCTGGCGTTTGATTTAGCAGATCTAGTTAAGACCTGCTACACTGAATGCTGAGGGCAGCTCCAGTACTCGGCTCAAGGTAAGCCGACTCCAGCTATGTATTTTACGTAGCTGGAGGTGCGTACCTTAATCCGGCCTTCCAGGTCTAGTGCAGACCTGGCCTGGCATTGCAGTCATCTGTCTGGAACGTGCGCACCTACTGATCAGCAGATCACTTCCCTTTGGACCATCATGCACTGGCTAGTGTGGAGTGGGTTACCCTGGGTGTGTCTGCATCTGTGGCTGTGTGAAGCATGCAGTTATCCCCATGCTCAAGCCCATCATGACAGTAGTGATGGGAGTTTGCCCTTCTGTGGACAGTGAGAGAATCAACACATCCAGATAAGATTTAGGTCCACTGGAACATGGAAAGCACCTGGCACAGCTCAGAAGGCAGCAGGAACCCTGTTCTTGGGTCTACATCCGGGACACCCAGTTCATGCACTAGAAAAGGAGATGAGCAACAGCCTTGTTTCCCTTTTTTGGCCAGTATCAGAGGAATATATAAAACCTCCATGGGGAACATTTATATCCCCATAAGCCGGAAGGAAAGTCTCCCCCTACCCAAGGCAGTTAATATCAAGTTCATGATCAGACATGCACAGAATCAATGACAATACTCCCACAGGATTCAACAGACTCCAATTCAGGCCTTTAGTGATTGGCTGTCATCCTGGAACATGACAGTTTCATATCCCTTATAGACTTTTATCCCAGCTGTGACAAAATAACTACAGTCAATTACTTAGTAAAGCTACTTTTGCATGGATGTGCAAGCCTGCGCGTGCTTTTGGCAAGTTTGCAGCCAATGATCTGGGGAATCAGGATGAAGCAACATTTCTTTTTTCTGAAAGGGTGGCGCAGGACACTTTGAGATCACTGATACGACCGCTGCCAAGTTCCTGCAGGCCAGAGGAGGGCGTCTGCAACGGCTAGCTCATTGCCTGAAAAGGTTCATTAAGCTATCCCTTCTACACAATTTTCCAGGAGGAGTCAACAGAAATGAGTCAACATTTTTCAAGTTTCCAGCTGCTCTCAAGAGACTTGGTGGTATGACTTTGCAGGGGTTTATCTACAGAGGGAAGTGAGCACATCAAAAGTTAGGGAGTGAATCCTAAGCATATTAGCTACTCCATGCTAACTATCTCCCCAAAGGTGCTCCGAGCACTCAGGAAGAGCATCCATGTGATATAGCTTAATGGACTCTGAAAGAATAGTAAGCTCCTGAGCTCAAGGGCACTCTGAGGAGAACAGATTTTATTTTGGGAAAGACATTTCAACAAAAAGTCCCTCGTATCAATATTACTGAAGAGACCATATCATACTTACGGGTCATTGGATTTAGGTATCAAGGTGCCTAGTTCTTTAATGCGGTCGTTAATATTAAATCTTCTCCTTCGTTCAACTTTAGGAAAACAACCAAGAAATACACAGTAGTTAAAAAAAATCCTTTCTGCTTACAGAATACAACCCCTTTAAAGATTTCAAAACCACTTTTTGCTTTATACTTGTACACATTACTTAAGCATATTTGTAATACAGATCAGTCTTATACCCACTTTTCAACTGGATAAATTGAGGCATAGAAGTGGAGTGATTCCCCAAAGGCATCCAGTTTGTCAGTGGAAAGGCAGAAAATGACCTAACGTTTGGAGTCCTGGTCTCATTCTTTATGTAATTTGCCTTACTTCCTGATCAAATGTTAACATCTGAAACCATACTATGCTATTAAGGAAAAGTCACTACTGAAACCAACAGGGAGTTCTGCTTTTTAACCATAGGCATGAGATTACTTCTTGTTTTCAGACATTAAATAAAGGTTTCTTAAGGGTCCGTTTAGAATTTTAAAGTTAGTAAAACTTTTCTGACTGGCTTGGATTCATGGCTGGTTAAATATAAACGTATGAGCCTTAAAAAAAGATACAGATACGCTTATACTTACGCCCAGAAGTTTAAAGATGAGATAAATGAACTGATTGCACACATTACGTTTCAGATTAAATCACAATGATTTTTCTGCTAAAATCTTGTATGATATATATGTAAAGGTAACTGGCCAAATTCTACTCTCAGTTATACCAGTGCAAGGAAACCCCTTTGAATTCAGAATTTGGATCACATTCTAATACATTTAAAAAACTGTTCTCATTCAAACAGCTATTTTAATATTTTAATTCAATAGCAGGTCTAAGAAATCATTATGAGAGAATTTGGGATATACCAAATTGTGGCTAACAACAAACTTTTCAAAAGCTTCAGGGGGTAGCCAACTTAGTCTGTAACTGGAAAAACTTAAACAATGAATAGTCTAGCAGCACCTTAAAGACTAACGAAATGATACCATCCACATGCTTTGTTAGTCTTTAAGGTGCTGCTAGACTATTTGTTGTTTCTTAAACTTTTCAAAAGCCTGCATGCCAGCAGATTTATAAAAATAATTAAGTCCTTAATAATCATCCGTGTAACTTACTCATCACTGTGAGCTATCCATTAAAATATTAAGCAAATACTATACACTGAGCATAATTAAAACTTACTTAAATTGTGATTGTCTTTCTTCTGCCTCTCTTTAGCCAATGCCCTTGCTTCAGACTCTGTAGGAAAAATACACGCTGTGCACGTGAATGAAGTAATTAGAATTTTGGAAATTCAAGGAACACAACATAGCAATTTATAAGGCACATATATATTTCTGATGTTGTTCACTGATCACTAGGGATACATGAGAACATAAGAATGGCCATACTGGGTCAGATCAAAGGTCCATCTAGCCCAGTAGCCTGTCTCCCAACAGTGGTCAGCACCAGGTGCCCCGGAGGGGGTGGACCAAAGACAATGATCAAGCGATTTGTCTCCTGCCATCCATCTCCAGCCTCTGACAAACAGAGGCCAGGGACACCATTCTTTACCCCCTGGCTAATAGCCTTTTATGGACCTAACCTCCATGAAATTATCTAGCTTCTATTTAAGCTCTGTTATAGTCCTAGCCTTCACAGCCTCCTCTGGCAAGGAGTTCTAGATACATCTCTCTACGGAGACCATACTAACACAGCTACATCGTCAGAGCTTTGCTGACATAACCTCATCCCACGTTTCTCAGACTGGCAGTCCTGACCCAAAAGGGGATGACAAGGCTATTGTACGGGGGTCACCAGATCACAAAAAAAATTGTGATAACCTTTAGCTCCTTTGCTCAGGTTACCATACTTCAAGTTCCCAAATAGAGGAGACTGACAGGCCAGGAGGGAAGCTGGAAGGGGGTGGGCACAGCAGCTGTTGGTCTCTGGTTACATAACTCTGATGACCATGTATAAGTACCAGAAGTAAGTGTGGTGATATCCTACTGTTGCTTTATACTTTTTGAGAGGCTTCACTGCCTTTGACTGCAGGGATAATGATTACATGCTTCATTTAGTGCTCCTGGGAGTATGTACTGTAATTTGCTATTCTCCCCCTTTTTGGGGGGTGGGGTGGAGGAGGGATTATCATAGCCTGAAATATTTTCAAAAAGGAGCCCAGAGAAAAAAGTTTGAGAACACCTGGCGTAGAGGGGACCTCCAGAGATAGAAAGGGGGGTTTCCATCCACGTGGGAATACCATCTCTCCAAAAGATGGTAACTACATAGATGGAAACACACTTCCATTGACACAGTTGTGCCTCTACTAGGGGTTAGGCCAACATAATTATAGCAGTCAGAGCTGTGGTTTTTCACACCCCGGACTGATCTAGCACAACGCTAAGACACAATAAGATGCTTACACCTGGAGTAGTGCAGAACTTGCTGATTTCATTTCCCATGGGGGCGGATACTTTTCCATCCTTCCACACTGGTTTTGGAGATTCGTTCTAACACAACATGGCACAGGCTAAACTCAAAATCAATGCGCTTTGTTCAGCTCTGGGGCTGCTCAACGGAGAGGTCTTAACATGTGACTTTTTAATCACAAGTTCAGTTACAAAGTCAGTTTCCCCAAAGGGTCTTTGCTGTGTCCTTTCCTTATATGGGTTGTAGATTTCAAGTCCAGCCCACAAGTGTTAAGAATAAGGGTTTCCTCTGGAGTTGACCATTTTACAGCTCTTAATTTGGACTAACATAGCGGGCAGAGGAGTAGCATGGTACTTCTTGTTCTGTGCTGGATCCCAGAGGGGTTGACTGAAAGCTCAAAAGGCTACAGAAGGCTTCCAGAGGCCTGACCCAGACCTGGATTTATTGTAGCTGGAGCATGAAACAAGCATAAGGTCAGTGAGGTCAAAACTGTAGGGAGTGGACTTGTGAATGAACATACAGGTGAATGCTGCTTCACCAATTAAGGTGATCGTTCCTGCCACAGGGAAGTGCGATATTCATAGACCTGATTTTACATGGCACTTGCTCATCTTCATGAATGAGTGGCAAGAGGCATGAAGACTGAAACACGCAAATGCCAAGGAAATGTAATGTAATCACATGTTCTCCCCATCACAGTACCTCCAGACCTTAGTCACGGGACAGCAAAAGGCTCTTCTACCCCGAGGAGGCAGAGATCAGAATTCAGATTCTGTGTCCACACTAGGGACAATGTAATTCTTGTTTACAGGATCAGAAGCGCTCAAGTAAAACACCACTTCCTGATTTGGACTGATACGCCCTCATCTCATGCTACATCAAGACTACTGTTTTTTAAAGGAAATTCTTCATCTATTTCCATCTTATTATATATTTTAGAAATGTGTCCGTCTTTCTGTCCGTCAGGAGCCTGTTTCTTCAAGAACTCCTTTTAAACCGGGGGTGGGCAATCATTTTAGATGGGAGGCCTCTTTGCTTTGTCCCCGCCCTTCCCCTGCCTGGAGAGAGCTACCAGCTGTTCTGAATAGCTGGCGGTTCCTCCTAGGCATCCGTCCCCTCGCAGGGCAGGAGAAGACTTTGCAACCTCTCCCCACCCACAGGCCAATCAGGGCCTGGGGGCAGAAGGAGAACGTGAAGTCTCTCGCTCCCTGCCCCCACCCTGCAAGGGGCACGCAGCGCTTAGAGCGAAAGCTCCGCATGCTCCTTGTAGGGCGGGGGGGCCGGGAATGCATGAGGTCTCCTGCTCCCTGCCCTGCAAGAAGCGTGCGGAGCTTTCTCTCTAAGCGCTGCATGCCCCTTGCAGGACAGGCGGAGACTTTGTGCATTCCACTGTCCCCAAGCCAATCAGGACTGGGGGTGGGAGGAGTGCATGAAGTCTCTCGCTCCCCGCACCTGCCCTGAAAGGAGCACATGGTGCTTGCAGGGCAGGGGCAGGGAGCGAGAGATTTTGCACGCCCCTCCTGCCCCTAGGCTCTGATTGGCCTGGGGGTGGGGGAGTGGCAGGGCACATGTGGGCCAGATCCACCTCCTTGGTAGGCCTGATCCGGCCCTTGGAGGCCCCTTTGCCCACCCATGTCTTAAACAGTAAGAGTTAGGAGCCTCAGATTTGGTTGGTAGGCAGCTTCCTCTTATCCTAACTTAATACAAGGTCAGGGTTTGGGACAATGGGATGCACCTGGAATTCAATGGGATGCACCTGGAATTCAATTGTTTCTCATAAAATGGAAAGGGAGAGGTCTGGCAGGAGGGACGGCTATACTGCAGAATGGTCTAGAGTATGGCCCATGAATGGTCTGGAGTTGGGGGAGTCCCCCCACCAAAAAAAAAAAAAGTTCCCCCTAGGCACCCATGCCCCTGGTGGCAGGAGGAGACTTTGCATGCTCCCTCTTCTGCCCCCAGGCCAATCCAGCCCATGGAGGCCCTTTTGCCCACCCCTCGTCTAGATCATCCCTGATAAATGTCTATCCAACCTGCTCTTCAATATCTCCAGGTATGGAGATTCTACAACCTCCCCAGGAAATTTATTCCAGTGTTTAACCATCCTGACAGGAAGTTTTTCCTAACGTCCAACCTAAACCTCCCTTGCTGCAGTTTAAGCCCATTGCTTCTTGTCCTATCCTCAGAGGCCAAGGAGAACAATTTTTCTCCCTCCTCCAGTTTTCCAAAGCCTCCCTTGGTTTACATGTGCAGAAGGTTAACAAATGGGTTGAACTATGCCCATGGCCACCAATGGGGAAGGGGGAGGAAGTTGTCCCGGGACCTGGTAATTTAAAAGAGCCCGGGGATCTAAGACACTACTGCAGCAGCAGCGGCCAGAGCCCTGGGCCCTTTTAGACCACTGCCGGAGCCCTGTGTGGCAAAGTCCGGCCGGTGCTGAGGGCTGGCTACTTCTTTCACCTGAGGCCCACCTCCCATCACCACACTGCCCAGGGCCTGGTGCAGTCTGTCACGAGCCCTGAATATCCCCTAAAATGTGGTTAGCTGCTATTGAAAGTGGGACTGAGCCAGCAAGAGAATGGCAACTTTTCCTTCCTTCCTTCCAAAAACATTCAGTGTCTTAAAGCTTCACTCTAGTTTGCTTTTGCAAACAAGGGCCGTAACAAGGGCGAGGCAAACAGGGTGCCTGCCCTGGGCGCATCATAATCAGGGACACAAAGATGCAATAAGTAAAAATAATAGGCTGCAAAAGTAAAGAGCGTGACGCATCCTAACCTAAGGAGAGGATAAGTAATATTTTGCCCTGGGTGCAAAAATACCTAGTTATGGCGCTGTTCGCATAGGTTTGTATTTTAAACAGCAGAATAGGTTTCTGGAGTTTGTTTTTATGTTTTATCTCTTGGAGCTGTGATGGAAAGTGATTCTCTCAAGCTATTACTTTCTAATGTCTCAAAGTTTGGGATCAGAACGCTGTTCATATGAAAGGTAAGGCTCTTTTAGGACTTGGGTGAGAAGATTTTTGGAAGATTCTCAACCTTGATTATGATAGAAATGAATAAATAGCCATTCTTTGCACAACACCCGACCACTTAAATGCAGCATCCAGGAGTAACTGGACACTTGTTAAAGCATCCCACATTCCTAGCCTGACAGTATTACAAATTATTTTTTCACCATGAATAATCACTCCTATTGGCAGAGTCCCACTGGCAAAGTCTCCTGAGAAGCATCATATTAATTCAAGTTGCTATTACGGTTCTAGCCAGAGCAGCATACAATAGGTCCAATTTAGAGAGTAGCTACATAAAAGAAGTAGAGAGACAAATTTTTATCTTTAAAATGCTGCAGGGTTTTGTGCTGCAGGTTGCGTATGAAAACCCTGGAGTTTCCACACCCTATGGTTCTGTCCTTGTTATAAAACCAAGTGATTACTCATCTATGCAAAGGAAACAGACACCACGTTAACAGCGCCGCTCCTGCTAACAGACCTGCTCGGAAACACGCAGCAAACTGGAGGACAGAACTCCTCCAAATTTCCCTCGTCAGAAGGGATTTTTTTAAAAACACACCTGAAAAAAGAAAACCCTCTTGTCCGATCATTAAGTGACAATGTTGCAAGAGCATTTACCTGTGAGCTCCCTCTTGATATTGGGAAGGTTCGCCGGACACGAGTTGCTGATGTTCAACCCTGAAGGAGGCATGCTTTGGTTGCCATAAAGGTCAATCAAATTGCCGGATACCGGTAACTGGAAAATCGAAAGTGGAAAACGATCACTTGTTATGTCCCATCTGACACACTAGAACAAAGCCAACATTTGCTAAGAACGCTGCTCTCTGCTCCCTGTGCCAATACGGCTCTCAACAGCAAGGACATGAAACACGACTCCGGGAGAAAATGCTGAAATCCTTTCCCCAAACCAAAGGATGCTATGGATTATACAGACAATGCATTTTTAATAAGGACAAAGCACAAGGAAACCCAGGAATTTCACTCCACAAACGGCCTCTGCCTCAGAGCGAAGTAGAATTTTCATACATTATGCTATGGTTCCTGTGTGGTTATTAAAAAAAAACAACTCACTATACTTGTATGAGGGGGAGGGAAGCCTGCAAAGTTTAAAGTACAACCATAAGAGGGAGCTCAAGCTCTCCCATAAACGTTTAAGAGTGAAATAGCCCAATAGAAATTAATTACACATCCACATACCATGGATGTGTTTAAAGCAATTGAATTTAGTTGATCAGACAACTGCCTACATAACATAGACTTATTGGGATTTTCCTGCTCTCACATGAAAAACACATTTTGGGAGCGGAAGGGGGCAATCCACACTTTTTTGCATTATATATAGATACAAAATTGGTATCTGCATCCGCAACAATGAGCCGTGGATACCCACGGATATAAAGCAGGTATCTGTGGATTTGCAGGGTTCTAATTATATGGGCCAAAGTGTCTCAAGTCACGGAGTGAAGGGGGTGTTGCATTTTGCGTGAGTTCCAACTACAGGAGAAGGTCTCTGCAATAATTAAGCCTTGTGGTCACATGAGCTCACGTTAATCATGTGACGTCAACATGGGACAGGCTGCACTCATTGTGTGACTGAAATGTTGGGGCTCAGGTGCTTATCAGAGAAATACAGTAAGAGCGACATCAAGCATCTCAACTCAACTACATCCAAGTCCCCTCAGCATGCAGGGTAGGGTTCCCAGGTGTCCAATTTTCGACGGGAGAACCTGGTCGAAAAGGGATCTTGGCAGCTCTGGTCAGCAGGGCTAAGACAGGCTCTCTGACTGTCCCAGCTCCACGCGGCTCCTATGCCTGGCTCCTTGGTGCAGGGGCTACCAGGCAGCTCTGTGCACTGTCTGGCCCCACAGGCACCAACCCTGCAGCTCCCACTGGCAGCCTCACCCTTCCCATACCCCTAATCCGCATAGTCCTGTCTTTTGTCTGAGCCCCCTTCCACACTCACACTCCCACAGGCACCAACCCTGCAGCTCCCACTGGCAGCCTCACCCTTCCCATACCCCTAATCCGCATAGTCCTGTCTTTTTTCTGAGCCCCCTTCCACACTCACACTCCCACCCAGAGTCTGAACTCCCTGCCACACCCCAACCCTTTGCCCCAGCCCAGTGAAAGCCAGTAAGAGGGGCAGAGAGCAAGTGACAGAAGGGTGTGTGTGTGTGTGTGTGTGTGAAGTGAGTGGGGGATGGGACTTGAGAAAGGAGCGGGACAAAGCGAGTTCGGTTTTGTATGATTACCAAGTTAGTATCCCTAGTGCAGGGACACAGGGACTACATAGTGCACAAGCTGTCCTTACATGCAGTGAGATACACATGAGTGAGGAAGGTAGAACTGTAGTACACCTAGTTATTTCTGCCTGTTTCTACTCTCAGTTACAGCTGAGTAACCTGCAGGCAGCACTGTAAACAAGGAAAAGATCATTCAGCTAAAACATAGAGCAGAAAGTGCTTATTACAGGCAAACAGGAGATACTTATTACATGTGCACCGCAGCAGCAATGCCTCGATTTAAGAGTGCCGAGTGCTTCCTATTATACAACCATGTTTTCTGTTGCTTATAAAACTTTACAAACTTCCCACGGTTTAGGCTCCAACTTTCAATGCCAGGTGTCTGCCTCAGGCTGAATTTGTTAGGAAAGTAAAAGAATAGGAGGGGAAATATGTTGGTTTGCTCATATTAAAAAACTCGGACGACTGTTTCGGAAGGAACGTGATGCTGTAGTGCCTCAATGGCTTTGACTGGCAGACTTGAAATTTGACAGCTGGGTCTCTAATGTCAGGGATGTGTCTTCTGCAGTGCTCTGCTCACATTTGGCCAAGTTACAAGCCTCTGAAAAACATCAGCGCACATGCTGAGCAGAGATTTGTAAGAGAAGTGTTTCTTAAAACGTGTGCCGTGGCAGAGACAGTTGGAGGTGTACTGCAGCCTCTTTTAACTCCTCCTGTCCTCCCGTCCCCGCCACCGGAGGAGACGGAAGCTCAGTTGGGACAACACGTGCAATTAAAGGGACCGCCACCTTTTTTTTTTTTTTTTTGGCTCAACCACCTTCCCTCAGTGTTCCGCATTAAAAAAAAAAGATTGTTTGGTGTTCCACAGTAAAAAGTTCCAAAGCAAAAAGTTTAAGAAACACTGTATTAGAGGGTTCCAAGAACTGATCTGCACTGGGCATGCTCCATCCCTACACAGCTCCTACATGCTGATGAGACAGCGCATAAGCTCGTCCCACAGGACAACTGGGTATGCTCCAGCAAGGTGACTATAGGGTCTGAGCAATTCCTGCAATTGCTCTGCCAGCCTAGAAGAGGATTTCAGGGGCATGAAGCATCATAACTGAGCACCAGAAGTCCTTTCCCCCATGCTCTCAATCCCTCCCTTCTAGTGACGAGGCAGCATAGAGGAGGAGCCAGATCCAAGTGCGATGAGATGAGAGTGCAGGATTGAAAAAGAGTGAAGAGGGGCCCAAAGTGACAGGGAGAATCTGCAAGGATGGCAGCAGAAAGGCAATAGCTCCCTGAGTACACCACCCTCCATAGACAGACATTGAAGCCTAGGTTCTCATGCATTAAAACTCCTCTGACAACTACCAAGTACATTTGTGAATCCCACTGATAAAAGGAGAGGTGCTTTTTCCTCTACACTCTTCCACCTAGAGGGTAACAAAATACTCTGTAGCTCAAGTGGTAACGCTCTGGATCCAAAGGTCCCCCAGGTCTGCGAACACCACATATGGGGGAGTCAACATGATTTCACGATTGATATATTTAAAATTTCCCGAGGGAAAAAACCACTTAGCCTATTGTCTTTTAATGTATTTTCTGCCAGTGAATCACATTAATGCTAGTGATTAATGCAAAACAAATTCACTAGATTAAAAATAGTCATGATTCATAATTACTCTGTGAAATAATTTACATTTTTTATAAATATTTTGGCTAGTCTATATTTTCAAGTATACTGATTTCAGTTAAACAGAATACAAAGGGTGCAGTGCTCATTTTATATTATTCCTGATTACAAATATCTGCACTGTAAAAAAGGTAAGAAAATATTTTTCATTACCTTCATACATGTATTGCAATGCAATGTATTAATCACGGAAGTGCAATTTAAAAATGTAGATTTTTTAAAAATAGAACTGCACTCAGAAATACAACCATATAGAAGCCCACTCAGTCCTACTTCTTGTTCAGCTAATTGCCAAGACAAATAAGTGTGTTTACATTTCTAGGAGATAATGCTACCTGCTTCTCATTTACAAGGTCACCTGCAAGTAAGAAAAATGCATTTGTATAGCACTTTTCTACCAACACCACAAGGAATTTAAGTGGCAGATATGCCTCTTCATGCTTTGGTCACCATCTCAAAGGACATGCTTCCATGATAAATTTAAACTGGTATTCTATTAACATTAGCATTGTGGTTTAAACCGTAATTAATCAACTATTTTTAATCTCATGATTAATTCCTATCATTTTTTAAATGTGTTGACAGATCTAAAAAAAAGCTATGGTTGGTAAGTCAAACATTCAAAAGTTAGGAAAGTTTTGAAAATAAAATGCAATGTGTCTAGGAAAACTTTGGGCGTATCCACCTTTGAAAGGAACTAAGGAGCCTAAGAGAAGTTGAGTCCAACTTCCATTGATTTGCTTGAAAACTGACAGCTTTAACCTGTAAAAGGCATACAGGAAAAACGAGGAAAAATGAGGCATACAAGAAAAAAGCATCAACAGCTGCAAAGACAGCCCTGGATTTTTAAAATTCCTACTGACTTATTAACATCATTCCATGATTAACGTGAACCCCCCTTCAGGAAAGACAGATTGGAAGGACACCTGGCTAAACATTCCATTTTGGAGTTGTTCTTAAACTTAGTTGGTTTTGGTGAATCAACAGTTAAACTTCCCCAACCTGGCTCTGCTGTTTAAACCTAATGTGTATAAGAGCTGAGTATTATGTACAATACCCCAGCTACTCTGCGGCTGGGTCACTCCCATGCACAGACTACAAGTAGCATGATGGCTTTTGTTATATTTCCTACTGTCAGATCAAATAGATCATACTTGAGTTTTGGTCACAAGTGAGAAGACAGGTCTTCGGCAGCAAAGCGCAAGTACTGTAATTTATTGCGATGCTTTTCAATTAAGTGGCGCTTGAACCTCTCATTAGCTCTCGCTCAATATAGATCTCCTATTTTGAATCTCAAGTAAGCACTGTTAGCACATGCAGCAAACTGGGCCTTTTCTTTTTTGTTTATATCAGAACAATAAAGTCCTTGTTACGGTCTAAGCTAAACTGAGCTATTTATAGACTGAGAGTCTCTGAGGACTGCTTCCTTTCCATGTTCTTTCACCTTCTAGTTAAATCAACAGTAAGTTTACAGATGTTTTACAATGTTACAGCAATATAGAGTATCTTCTAAGGACACAATCCTGCTCCTGATGGCAAAATTCCCATCACTTCATGGAGGGGGGATCAACTTAAACAACAGTAATTACAGCAAAATACGGGATACGATTTTTCTTATTGCCTCAGAAGAGCACTGGCTTGAGGTTTACTGTGGAGACTATGTTAAGTTTCCTAGTCAATGCAGTTTTATTTTGGTGACATTCACGAAGAAGCCCTAATGTTACCAATCTTGTTATAATCTAAGTACACAGTGAAGGGCAGAAACCCGGCATCTTTTTTTTTTTTAAAATAACTGATTGGATTAATCCAAAGTACAGTCTTTCCTAGCGGTATTTAAAGCTACTTATGCTGGAAACTGAAAACAAAACAATGAATGATATGCAGTAGTGTTGGTCTTTAAAGTTCACTTCCATTTCACTTAAATCATAGGTCTTAGCAGCTGACAAGGAAAGTCCACCCGCAGGAGCAGAAGGAAGTGACTGGCAGATCAGAGCACAGGAGAGTTTGGAGATCTCTATTATAGTTGTAAACTAGTTAGTTGTTACAGTGAGTTGCTGGAATATGTGCCTATAGTGCTGTTACTGGGAGCATGTGTACACATGGGGGTAATGGAAAGAGTCCCCCCACTAAAGCAGCACAGAAAAGCACTGGGGATACAGAATTCCCACATCTAGGGTTCCTGGGAAAGGAAAAGGGGAGAAGAAATGTAGGAATCTCTTACAGAAAAATAGTAGGGATTAATCCAACAGGATTCTATGGAAAATAACTCCAAAAACAGAAGAGATTTTAATGGGAAGTTTTATACCTACATTAGATTTCCCTAATAGTTGCTAACTGGAGGCTGGGCCATGTTACCATGAAGACTAGGGCTGGGAAAAATCTCCTCCCCTTGCAACTAGCGTTGCAAGACCCCAAGTCAGACTTCAAAGGCAGATGGTCATGGCCAGACCCAAATCCAACCTCAGCAATTGCTCATTTTTTTAAACCAAGTTCCACACTGTGGCTTTCCACTGTAAATTCTTAATGCTCTTTATATCATCTCCTAAACCACTGCAGACAGCTGCTAGCAAAACATGCTGTGCTCGGATTTCACATGAAAGCTATTGGAAAGCAGAGGTGATTTAGACGTGGCTAGACAAGACAGACAAGAGTCAGTACGATGGAAAAGAAATGACCATTGTACCGTATTTGCCATTTGCAGGGCAGGATCCATCAGGCCGAGGATTTCTTCATTATAACTTGATTCCAAGCTAATGATGTCATCAATTACATCATCCATCTGCAACAGAAAGGTGAATGGGGAAAAATGCAAGTTACTTGAAACTTGCCTGAGTTTCCAACTGAGTTGGTAACAGGCCTGTAGTAGTAATATTAAAAATAAATACATTTTTAAAAAGATTCCAAAATGCACTGTCCCCCCTTATTAGTGCTGTCTCTATTGGACCTTAGAAACCTAAGCATTTTTGCCGTACTCCACTTCTGCCCCTCCTTAGTAATCACCACTCTCCTGACCCAGGAGTGGGTCTTCTTCTGCCTTCAGCTATCATCAATGCCCTTCTTTAATTGGCAGGAGGAGTCAATAATGAGTTGTAGGAAACTCAAGACCAACTATACCGCAATTGTGTGGGTGTGACTGGTGTACAACCAGCCAGCCGGGCAGTTTTACACATTTCAGAATGGTTTCTGGTGCAAATTCAGAGAGCCCATTCTTGTATACAGGCTGGGAGTTGGGTCGGACTGAGGTTTGAATTGCAGCTTTGTAGCAGATGGCCCCACAAGCGCTTTTATTTTCCTTAAAGTACTATAAAATCAGGGATCGCAGTAAAGAGCGACTGCATGTTCATTGCAGAGGATGGAAACATAAGTCTATTCAAACACAAACATAATTTGAGACTAGCTTCTGTGCGTTTTAAACACTGGCATATAACTTTATGAAAGAGTTATCAGACCTCTCTGAACCTTCCTTCCTGGGCCTCATCTGTCTCTTCTTTCCAACCTCCTCCCCTCGCCTTTCCTTTTCTCCTCTCCTAACCCTTGCGTTTCACTCTCTTGCCCATCACCATTGCCAAGGATTTCGAAAGTTTGTCCTTGAAATGGTGGATACCATCTCTGGTAAAATCTCTCTGAGTAGCTGTTTCTATGGGCGACTCATAGGAGATGCAGTTTCCCTTTCAGCTCAACAGAGAGGGAGTCTGGAGAGGAAAATATAGTAAGAGAAACTGTAGCACTCACAGACTATATACGAGATGCCATTTTTGCAGGGGAGTGAGAATTCATACCCTTGATGCATACCATCCCTATGCTTGTAAGGAAATATTAAACTATTTCATCTCACATTATCAAATCTGAACCTAATTGCCACAGAAAGAGGGTCATACCAGCATCCTAAATAAAAAGGCAGAACAGAATAGGAATGCATTTCGCATTTCCCCTGAAATCCTAAGAAAAGAACAACATACAGGAGCATTCTTTATAACATGCAATCTTCCCAAGACTTATTTAGACTGTATAAGTTTTTCACAGCATAAAATTGGAGAGTGGAAGAAGGGCCAACCCTTTTCAGATATACTTTTAATGAACTTCTGAAATAAACTCATCAAAACCAAATCTGCAATGTACTTTTCTTCAGAGTATTTCTGCCGCTCTTTTCCTTAAAGAAAACCAACAAGTCATGGAGAAACACCGGCACTGTTTATAATGGATTCTGTACTCCCCAACTCCTGTGCCATCCAGTACCTGCATGCATGATGCTCGCGAGTGTGTGTTCAGAGCGGGGCACTCGCCTTCTACCCTGCTTTGCTCTTCATATTTATAAAATCCCTGTGAATATAAAAAAGGGGAAAAAAGCAAAGCATGGACCTGAATTTGCAGCACAGTCTTTCCTCTGGACAGGCATGATTGAGACAGTGTCATGCACACAAGTGCCTGATGACACAGCAATGCGACGCTTTAGCTCTCGCGAGGAAAAAGCAAAACATTGGTGTGATCATGATAATGGAACAGAACTACTTTATTTTAATTTGTTTTAAAGTACTGAAACAATGGGATAAAGGAACAGGGAACACTCAGCAATCTTGGCACATGCAAAGTGATTACTGCAAAAAGCAAATCTGCCAAGACATGCACACCGCAGTATTTCCATGCTATCAAAGTGGGGATACATTTGCTTTTTATAAAAAGTCTTCTTCATTGGCCTCTTCCTTATGCAAATGCACTAATCTACACCTGCTTATCTGCATTGGGTATTCTTATAGCTGTACACAAGCATTAGCAGCCGCACACAAGTTCAACAGTGCCAATGTACATTTTGGCTGTGAATACTGCTGCAGAAGATTTCCAGACATCACCCAAGTGACATTTTACAAAGGAGGGTGGATAGTGAAATCTCAGGCAGTAATATTTGAAAAAGAATAAAAATGGGGATATTTTGGGAAACTAATTCATCACTCGAAAGACAGGCACAGTGGGTAAGCTAATATCTTTGACTGCCCCAACTTGTTAGTGAGAGAGACAAGCATTCGAGTTTACACAAAGCTCTTCTTCAAATCTGGGAAAGGTACTCAGTGTCCCAGCTAAATATATGATGGAAGAGCATAAGCAATTAACATATTTCAAGGGCCTGTTCAAGGCAAAGTGGCTTAATAAGGCCCCTACAGTCATATGACAAAAGGGGGAAGGTAGTGGGTTACTAACATAAATCCAGTGACTTTGCTAGATGCTAAAAAAAATCACAGTCTTAAAAAGTATTATTTTAAGCGGACAAGCTTGACTTTTGAAAGTACTGGGCAGTCCTTCTCCTCAAAGGAAACCTGACCAATCATTTATTGAGCAATCACTTTTGTGAAAAGTTATTTCAAATTTTATTGTCCTTTAAAAATTCACTCTTCACAATGGTTTGCAGTTTTCTTTTTTTTAAAAAACAAGCACCAACACCATTTCCTCTCTGCACTTTGAATGAGCCACAAAATTGTGATTCCAGAAAGTTACAGCCAACAAACAAAAATGGCCTTGCATTCTCCAAAGGTCAATTACTCACTGCTTTGTGCACTGATTAGGCACAAAAGAGGCTTTAATAAGATATATAAACTGAGTACAGTAGCACCAAGTTAAAAAAAAACCTCAACTGCCCACAGATTTTTCATCCCACGTGTATTTGATATACATTAGAAGTCACCCAAATTTTTTCAAGTCAACACTTGACAATAATAGATAAACTGAAGTTCTTTACCATGAGTGACTATTATTACTATGACAAATATTATGCACAGAAGACCAGTGAGAATGATACTAAGTATAAGATGAAATCACAATAGGGTACAGACACTATTATTTACCTCTTTTTCACAGTTGGAGTTAAGTGTGAGCATAGCCATTGGACTGTTGGGTGCGCTGCTTCCAGTTCCAGGTGGCATGACATGATCACCAGGCTGGTTTGGACAGGGCAAGCTCAGAGCTTGGTTGGCATGTTTATTTGCCAGAGTGGTAGAAAGGTACTGCTTTACCTGCTGCCGTTGGGCTTGCTGAATGTGGTACTTGGTTGGATTTTCAAGGTGAGTCTGCACCTGCAAGCATACAGTAAAAGTAGTGCTTTAGTGCTTTGTGGAGCCATTATAACATTTTTTAGATGCATGTTAATCCTAAATATACTTCGTAGGTCAGATCCTCAGCCAGTGTGTTGGCTCTGCTGAAGTCAACTGCATTTTGGCAAATTAAAATAACCAAAGAAACATCCATTTGTCTCCTAGTACAGTAATTGCTGTTCACAAGCTTAATTCAGGATTCCTGATCTGATGGTTTCTCAATATTCTGTTGGCTTTAAGTGATAAAATTAAGTTATTTGGTTTGATCTCTTGTGATCAGTGGCTAAGTGAGTCCTGTTTTTTTTAAAAAAAATAGCTAACAAGTTTTTTGGGGAAAAAAAGAGAGTAAAAATAGTTTTAGTCCAAATAACAGATGTAAACAAAATTAAGCAAATTAATAATTACATTTTCCTTTGTAAATAGCAACTTAAGGCTTATATATTTGTAGCATTGATTTAAAGAGAGTAGGATAGCCTCTAAAACACGTGCTGGAAATAACAGATGATAGAACAGAAATATTTCAATGTGGAAAATCTAAGTTAAACTAGTTTTCTATTCAGTACATTAGACATTTTCATTAATAGTAAATGTTATGTTAAAAGGCTGCTCTAATATTAAGAATTTTTTTAAATGAAATCACTCATTCTAAAACGAACCATGTAGACAATAAAAGAAAAGCAACAGTCTTCTGAGCAAAATGTTCACCACCGTTTGAGCAATTCTGTACCATCAGACACTTAACCGTATTGCTTTTACCAGCAAAAAGCAGAAGATTAATTAAAACACAACATCATATTGAAAAGGCTCGTTACTTTTATATGTTAGTTGTGAAAATTATTTTCAGTTGCTGAACAGCTACTAAAAAGGTATCATCTCTCTATTTTTTGTGGAACAAAGAAATATGTGTCAGATAACAGAGATGAAAAGGATTGCATATACATACACACACAGGCGTCAATTATTTTTTGTCAAGGTCCAGACACTAAAGAAACTAATTTTAAAAAGTGGTAACAAACAAGGAAATACATAAAAAGCCTACGGGGCTCCATTCAAAAGGATCTGACTCTCTAGATTTGGCCCATGGTCCATCCATTGACTACCTCTGCAGCAAATTATTTTAACAGGTAAAGTGAGCGTAAGATAACTCACCTGATAATGATTATATTCAAGCATTTCCAGCATAATGTTTATATGTTCCTAGCTTAGCCAGGGAGATGGTTTAGCATTTATCCTTTATTTTCCTGCTATTCAAAGGCTCACATACAGATGCACCATAAACAAGCTATCCTGAAATGGTGAAAGAAATTTTACTACAAACAGCTCAGGCTTATAATAAGCCAAGCTAATTAGTTACGCACGTTGAGAAATAAACAGTCACACAAGGGGCTTTGATTGGAAGCCATGAAAGTTTAGCCCTAAATATTGGTATTAATTTTTTTCTATAGCTTTGACGTCATGCTTTTTCATAAACATAAAAGGACCTTTTAAGTGATGGGCTTTCAAAGTCAGATTGACAGTTCGCTCAAGGCCAAATTGCTATTCATCTTTCGTTCCAGTCATACTAACAGACAATGGTAGTTTTCTTTAGCAGTAAGGTTAAGAGTTGTACGTCCCAAGTAAGAAGCGGAAGCTGCAAGAAAATGCTACAAGTCTGATGCAGTATTCATTGGCAGTGGTGTACACTGAACAAACTTATGTGGTTGTCTAGTTCTAGGCCAAGTTCCCATGTTTATTGTATATTGTCACACTCTTCCATCCTTACCTACCTCTATCTGAATTGGGAGGATGTGAGCTAAGGAAAAACATACATTCTCCACACAGTCATCCTTATCCTTCCTCACCAAACTCCTAGGGAATACCAGAGTAAGTTAATGCAGACCCAACCCTGATAAAGGTCTCTAAATTGATCTCAGAGGGGTAGCCGTGTTAGTCTGTAATTTTAAAAACAACTTTTAAAAAAACAACAAGCAGTCCTGTAGCACCTTAGGGTATGTCTACACAGCAATATTATTTCAAAATCACTGAAATAATTTAGTCTGTGCCTACGCAGAAGGCAGTTATTTTGAAATAATGTTGAAATGTGTCAAGCTGGAGGACTTCTTACTCGGACTCCTGTAACCCTCATTATACGAGGAGTAAGGGAAGCCAAAGGAAGAGTGCTCTGTTTTGAAATAAGTGCTGTGTAGATGCTCCCAATTTCGAAAGAAGCTATTTCAAAATAAGCTACGCAATTGATGTAGCTCAATTTGTGTAGCTTATTTTGCATTAAACCCTGCTGTGTAGATGCACCCTTAGAGACGAATAAAAATTTATGTATAGTATCACGAGCTTTCATGTGCACAACCCACTTCTTCAGATGAGATAATCTTCATCTGTGATTGTATATAGCTAACTTCTGGCATGGAGACTACAAATTACCAGAAAAGTCCCAACATAATTTTACAATCTATAATTAAAAACAACCTTCACCCAAAACTGTTTGGAATATAAATAGGGGCAATGAGTTTGTCTGTGTTCAGAAAGTTAAGGAAACATGTCAAACTGTTCCTGTATATCTTCCATTGAAAGTGGGATTTTTGTATAAATTATTAACCAGAACGATACTTTGTTGCACTTGAATAATTCAGATCAGTTGTGGTGGTCATAGCAGCTCCAGGTTTTCCACTTTAACATGTGTGTGCCATGATTATGTACACCGTTTCTCAGAACAGAAATACACTTATCTGTAAGAAAACGGCATGGAAGGTCTGTAACGAGCTGTGAAAATAATGGAATTTTCAATTTGCTGGCTATTCTGAAAAATATATATTGATCTCAAGAAAGTTCACTTTTGATTTTGAGCAGTTCAACACGTATGAACTTTTTACAAAATAAAACTGAAGGAAATGTTTGAAACAAAATCATTCTGAACTGAAAAACTGACATGTTTCTGCGTTTGTCATCATAAAGTTTGGGTTGAAAATGTTTCCTATTTCTGTAAACATTAAAAACTTAGCATGTGCTAACACCATACTAACAAACACAGAAGACAGCCTCCTCTGTTTGAAGCTCATAGACCTTACAAGAATATTTGTATAGTTATTTGTGCCATTTAATTATATTGTTTCCATGATTTTGTATGCAACCAAATTAACTTTATAACCAACTTCCTCTACAACCGTAGCCCAAGCGAAACAGAATTTTCATGGCTGGAAAAAATAGCTCTTTACTTGAAAACACACTTTCCACATACATTCATTTGTTGTGTCAATGAATAGGAAATCTACTAAAGCAGATCATGCATTATCTACTGATGCAAAAGACTACAGTAGTTAGGTTCCTAAACTTATTCTGACTGGATAAGTTTACCATGACAAATTTCCTAGCTTTACAGACAAATTTCTAATTCTTAACATAACAAAACCCATACAATTCTTTGCCCACCTGTAAACATTATTAGCACACATGAAATTACAGTAGGTCAGGCCACAGTAAGGAATCAGGACACTCATGCGATGCTGTACTACAGAAATGTAGGAAAAGACACTTCCTGCCTCAAAACGCACATACAGCAGGGAAAGGGGCAGCCAATTCACAAGGATATGAAAGGGCAGACCTTGACTGTAACAGAGCTACTTCATAGTGAGTGACAGGGAACTTCTGAAAAAAGAAATTGATTTCAATAGACTGTTTGTATGACCCTGCACCCCAAATTCCTTCTGGCCTGACTTTCCTAGCTCCCTCCTCCCTCATGAAGGAAGTGGGAGGGCCCTTTTATCTCAGATGGTGTCAAATAGCTGCAGAAGTCACAGCATGTCAACCGCTTTCCTCAGGAGTTTTATGCCTACTGATGCTGTATCAGCAGAAAAACTGATGCAAAGGGATAGCATTTTTTACTGAAATATTTTGGGCATGCTACCATCTCTTCCCAGTTCTCTGTCTGCTCCCTTCGTCTCTTGCCCCTTTACGTTCTTTTTCTTCACTCTTGATTCGGTTGAGAAATGTTACTTCAGTATTGGACATTACCTGCTACAAATATGTATCAAGCAACCTACTCAATTACAATTTCCTGGCAAAAGCCACCTTAAAACATTTCCATGAATGGAAGTGGGCAGTATTATGTAGGGCTAGCAGGTATTTATTAGAAAATGGTAGATCCACAAGCAACTTCCTTACACAAATCCCCTGTGATCTGTCATTGGGGTGACATTCCTAGTTTAAACATCACAGAGGTAAAACTATTGATTTCAGTGAACTATGAATTATAGATTGCACCTCCCTGGTCCGGCACTCTTGGGACCAGTGCTCCTTGTAAATCGAGCACTAAGGTGGCCACCCAGGAGAGATTCAAATGCTACCTACCTGATTAGCAGAGTGTCCACAGCTGGCAGCATGTGTTCCTACTGGTGGTGCACATCTGCACATGTCTTGGTGCATATAACAAAATGTATTCCACACATGGATAGAAAAAATATGAGGGAACATTTTTCAGGATGTTCCAGCTCCTTCATCTGCACCCAATACTGTCTGCATGTAGCTGAACAGCTGTTCCCTAGTGTAAACAAAGCACAGGGAGGAATGGGGGAGAGCTGCTGAGTGGGATTGGCAAATCCCCAAGAGTACCATCATGTATCCCAGTTTGAGAAATGCTGGTATAAGACAAAACAAGGTCTGTGACTCAACACCATTTACTTGCTCGTGGCTTACATATCACAGTTCTATCTGCAAGAAAAGTTCTACTGTAGAGTCTTATCTATCTTAGAGTCTTATCTAAGTATCTGTGAAGCATACTATATTTGTAAAGGATTCCAAGACAGATGTGTTTCAATTTCAGTGTAAAAAAGGGAGCATAGTTTTATAGTAAGATAGCAGTTATTTTTATTACACATAAGGCATACAAAATGTTGGAGAAGGGCAGTGTTTCCCAAATGGTGAGGTGAAAATAAGGGTTCTGTGAGAAAATTCCATTACAATCAGATTTTATGATTTTAAAAAAATATATT